GTTAAACGTAAACACTTTTGCACAGCAAAGGAAACTATAAGCAAAGTGAAAAAACAACCCTCAAAATGGAAGAAAATAATAGCAAATGAAACAACTGACAAAGGATTAATTTCTAAAATATACAAGCAGCTCATACAACTCAATGCCAAAAAAACAAACAACCCAATCAAAAAGTGGTGAAAAGACCTAAACAGACAGTTCTCCAAAGGAGACATACAGATGGCTAATAAACACATGAGAAGGTGCTCAACATCGCTCATTATTAGAGACATAGAAATCAAAACCACTATGAGATATCACCTCACACCAGTCAGAATGGCCATCATCAAAAAGTCTACAAACAATAAATGCTGGAGAGGGTGTGGAGAAAAGGGAATGCTCTTGCACTGCTGGTGGGAATGTAAATTGATACAGCCACTATGGAAGACGGTATGGAGATTCCTTTAAAAACTAGGAATAAAACCACCATATGACACAGCAATCCCACTCCTATGCATATACCCTGAGGAAACCAAAATTGAAAGAGACACATGTATCCCATTGTTCATTGCAGCACTATTTACAATAGCTAGAACATGGAAGCAACCTAGATGTCCATCGACAGATGAAGGGATAAAGTTGTGGTACATATACATAATGGAATATTACTCAGCCATAAAAAGGAATGCATTTGAGTCAGTTCTGATGAGGTGGATGAACCTAGAACCTATTATACAGAGCGAAGTGAGTCAGAAAGAGAAAGATAAATATCATATTCTAATGCATATATATGAAATAGATATATAGAAAAAAGGTACTGAAGAATTTATTTACAGGGCAGCAGTGGAGAAACAGACATAGAGAATAGACTTATGGACAAGGGGAGAGGGGAGGAAAGGGTGAGATGTATGGAATGAATAACATGGAAACTTACATTACCATATGTAAAATAGACAGACAACGGGAATTTGCTGTATGGCTCAGGAAACTCAGACAGGGGCTTTGTATCAATCTAGAAGGGTGGGATGGGGCGGGAGATGGGAGGGAGGTTCAAAAGGGAGGGTATATATGTATACCTATGACTGATTCATGCTGAGGTTTGACAGAAAACAGCAAAATTCTATAAAGCAATTATCCTTCAATAAAAAATTAATTAATTAACAAAATCCATTCTCTCCCATTGTTGAAGGTGGCAGTCAAGACAGCTAAACAATAATACATTACACACACATAAAACTTTTACCTGTGAAATTTTGCCAAATCAATTAAGGCATACCTTTCAAAAAGAACTTTGGCTATGGCATTCTCCCTGGAAAGCATTCCACAAGTAAGCAAAGCAAGACAAACATAAACAGTATAACAGTATAAACCCTTCTGGAGAGTTTTAGAATGAGCTTCTCTGGGATTTGACATCTTTTCAGCAGCCCTAGAATCAGTGGCTAGTTGAAATTATCATTATTAAAAAAAAAGAAAAGAAAATTATCATTATAAAGGTGCACAAGATCAGAGAGAGCTGAAAATTGGTATAACTTGGATATTGGCATAAGTTGGAAATATTTTATAGTCTTTCGTGTATTTGTGTTATATCCTTTAATTCTGAAACCAGCCCACTTTCATCCATTTTGGTGTAAAAATATGCTGTATAAAGATCATTTCAGCATCTCTCTTCCTAAATTCAATTCTGAAAACCCACAAGAATTCAAACCATGGTAAGAAACTAGGATTTAACAAGTGACTATATACCTGCTTTTATATAGGTTGCCTGTGTCTGATTTAACTCTAGAAACAGAAAAAAAATGGTCATTAGAACAATACACGCTGGCATTTGTGGTCCAGTAGATAAGCAGACAGTGGCTGTCTATTCCATTTGTCATTGTTATTTGGAAATAGAATACTCTTCTATACTTTGAGTTGTTATAATGATTAATGATCTATTTATTATTTAGAATCAGTTTAATTAGATTCTAGATATTTGATGATTTGTTGTATAATGAAGTCCCAACTAACAAATCTCTCATGACCCCAACTTTTTCCCTCTCCTTGCAGACTCAGCTATCAAGTTACCCTGAGCTAATTTTGAAATCAAATGATGAATTTGGATGATTTGTTGGAACAAATTTTTATTTTCTCCTACCTCTCTTATCTCTGTCTCTCTTTGTCATCATTCCTTTATTTTAGATTCTTCCTTTCTCACCCATTTTTTTAAATGACTTAGTTATTAGTGTCCTTAAGTAAACTCCTACAGATAGATACACATCCTAATTATGTGAAAACTCTATATGAAATATAAACAATTAAGTAAAATAGTGATTCCCTTCATTTTAAGTTTTTTTTTTCTTATTGCCAGTCACATGAGAAATTTTCTTTTTCTATTTCCTTATTGCTATCTATTAGTTTACCCTGTGGAAAAAAATAGTCCATAGTCATGGGAGAGAAAAGCAGAAGCAGTACTGGGTATATAAATTTTTATGAGAAAGGAAAGGAAACCCATAGTTTTAAAGAAGTGACGTTACATATAATTGTCAGTGACATGAGTTTGTACAATCTTGAAAGAACTTAGATATCAATCTTTGGGAGACTCATAACTGTAGGACAGTAGGAAATATGGGAAAATTAACTTGGTATCCAACTGAGGAGAATCAGAAAAACCCGGCTTAAGGAGTTTTTCTTTTTTTCTAGTAGAGATTAGCTGAAGTAGTTTTTAGCATGAGAGAGATAAGGAAAGCAATACTTTAGTAAGATTAAGTTAGGATAATTATACCTAATAGATTTGAATGGGGAAAGAGAAAGGTGTGAAGATGAGTTCAGAAGCAACAGTAACAGTTCAAGCTTTAAAGCCTGAATTAAGTTATCTCTAGGGACATAGGAAGGAGGCTGATACAAGATATTGCATGGAAAGAATCATTTACACTTGCTGACTGAATTAGAGGTGGGAACTGTGGGAAGTGGGGAACTGAAAGTAACTCTCTGTTTCTCGAGTACGATTGCCTGGGATAAAGATGGTGCTGTTGGCAATAACAGTAGGGACAGTGATGATTTTAGTTTTGGATGTGCTCAGTTTGAGACATCTAAGTGGAGATGTCTAGAACGTGGTTGGAAATTCAGCACTGGAAATTAGTAATCAAATCTTGATGAAAAAATCTGAAAGTTATCCAATAGGGGTTGGAATTATAATTCAATGTGAATCACTTAGAAACATTTTTAAAAACATTGGTATGTCCTCTGTGATGATATTTCTGAGCAAACGTACTTAGTGAGAAGAGCAAAGTTGAGGACTTAACTTTGGAATGTTGGATAATTAACAATTAGAAGACAGAAGCAGGCATACAGGCATTAAGAAAGAATGCGAAGAGGGAAAGAGAAGTCAGAAAGGAAAGAGGAGAACCAGAATGATATAGACTAATAAGGGCAAAGGGAGGAAGGAATTTCAAGAAGGAAGTTAAGTTAAAGAGAATGAAGACTGAGAAGATGCTGAAGGATCTGACCCATAGGAAGTAATTAATAATCTTCACCTGACCAAGTCATCATTAAATAGTGGGTAAACAATGAAAATTATTTTCTGCAGTTCAACTCAATAATTATTTACCAGCTACCACAGATGTTTTTCCCTTGTCTTTCTCAAACTGAGTAACAGTCAATAAAGGTTTCAGATCTACTAAATGAAGTTTCTTTGAGTCATAATGAGTTAAGATCTGGGATGAAGTTGATTCAGCAGAAGGAGCCAAAGAGGAATTATCATTTCTTCTGACCCCAAATTTCTCTCTGTACTATAATACTGGCAAGTGAGAATAATTTTATTTATTTATTGTTTTAGTAACAATACCTTTTCTTTATTAAATAGGTACTCTGTACCAGTGCCACACATTTGATAACTCATTTAACTCACTCACAACTCTAAGACAAATATCCTCCCATTTTACTTAAAAAGCAACTGAGACACTGAAAGATTAAATAACTTGCCCAACTTCATTCAGCCAATACTGTGCCCATCTCAAAAGTATACACTGGAATCAACCACAAAGCTGATTAACAATACAGATGCCCACACATCGCCAGTGATTGCCATTAGTCATGGGATACAGGTCACAATACAGGTTAAGCCCTGACTCCAGTTCTAGGCTACCTCAGTTTAGAATTCTGAGCACTGTGTTTGGTAGTTTTGTGATCTTGGGGCATTTATTTCTCTATGCCTCAGTTTCCTCATCTTTAAATCAGAGAATAAGGAGATACTTTTAAGGAGATATTTCACTGCCTTTTTCAACCATATTATGCTATCCTCTGACTGACCCAGATGATAGTCTACAAATGAAATATGATACTATTTAAAGATTCATGTTTGGTCCAGGGATGGGCTTGAAGTTTAGGTTATATAAAAGGATTACTGCTTTGGGGACTGAAATCTTGGAAACTTTGCTAACTAGAGAGGTGGTATTTATCTTAAGCTCCATTTTTACTTAAAATAGTCCTGTAATAGCTGTAAAGAAAGTCAGTCAAACGTTTACTATCTGACTCTTTGGATGGAACACAGAATGTGTGTTATTTTTAAAAAAATATTCACTAGTTTCACCTCTAAGTTTTTTCTACTTGTAGCTCAGTTGCCTTAAGTGTGATCTTTTCACTTCTCCAAATGTCACTGAACCCTGTTGTCCTTATGCTCTGGGCTCCCTTGTGAATGGAACCAGCCCTAGAGGATACTATGTGTGAGTGTGTGTTACTTGTTCATTTGTGTCTGTCTCTTTAACAATTCCATGGACTGTAACTTGCCAGACTCCTCTGTCCATGGGATTCTCCAGGCAAGAATACTGAAGTAGGTAGCCATTCCCTTCTGCAGGGGATCTTCCTGACCCAGGGATCAAACCTGGGTCTCCTGCAACTGCAGGCAGGTTCGTTACGGTCTGAGCCACCAGGAAAGATAAAACAGCTGAAGTGGAATATCTGGGCAGAGGGGAGGGAAAGCGCTCTAGAGATAGCTTCTTGCCTCTTTTCCCTGGGATGATTGAATTATTGTGATTTTATTCCAGACGCTGAAAAGGCTATCCGCCAAGTATAAGGCAGATAAAACCTATCCCACAACCGTGGCTGAGAGGCCCAAGAATATCAAGAAAAACAGATATAAGGATATTTTGCCCTGTAAGTTTCATTTCTCCCTTTATACTTGTACCTTTTCCCCAATTCAATCATCTTATCTCTTTTTACCCATTGGTTGTTATTCCTAACCCTGGATCATGGCTTTGACAAATTAGTTTGTATTGTATATGACTACAAAAGAACATTCATTCATTCATTCACTCTTCAGTCACTTATAAGCATCCACTATTCACAGCACTAGTTCCAGACTTACAGAAGCCCTCTGACCAAACCCTCTTAACTAGTCTTTCTTTTGTATTATAGATGACCATAGCCTAGTAGAACTGTTCATGATAACCTCTGATGAGGATTCCAGCTACATCAATGCCAACTTCATTAAGGTACAATGAATATTCTGTATTTCTCTAGGTACTTAAAAAAGTGGGGGTGGGGTGGGGGTGGAGGAATACTAGATGAGAAGAAGAGTATGTTTTTTATAGTTACCCCATGTAATTTCTGTTCCCCTATAGGGAGTTTATGGACCCAAGACTTATATTGCCACCCAGGGACCTTTGTCTACAACTGTCCTGGACTTCTGGAGGATGATTTGGGAGTACAGCATCCTGGTAAGTGCAGAGTTGCTTTTGTTACTATATTCTCTAGTTCTTAGAGATGTGGGGGATAGGGTGGCAGGATAAGTGACTGAGGTTTCCTATGTATCAGAATCATTGCTTTTTGGGGTCAGTTACCAGAATTTTGGTGTTCAGGCAACTTTTAGTCAAAATCACAAAGCCAGTATTGTTCAGGGAAATAAAAGTTCTCTTCCTGACAGTCTCATTTGTTAACAAGAATTTATTGATTTGAATAGATAAAAGGGAAGTGAGGACAGAGAAAGGAGTAGGAGTAACATTTTGTAATTTTAGGATTGGCTTTTTGGTTATAAAACAAAAAAAAAGAATGACACTTTTGGACTCTGGGACTCATGTATTAACTGCTTTTCTAACTGTATCAGTGTTTAAGTCTCTATTTTATTGCCCTAGATCATTGTTATGGCGTGCATGGAGTTTGAAATGGGAAAGGTGAGTTGCTGTTTAGTACACCTAAAGGAAGAAAGAAAAAGAAGGGGGAAACTTGGTAGCAGAATTTTCCTTAACTGTGACTTGGCAGACATTTATGCTCATCTTCCTAGTCTTCAGTTTGTGAATGCCAAATGATTCTCAAGGCTTTTTTTTTTAAACCCATGAGAACCTCTTTTGCCCATTTCCCCTGTGTTTTAAAATAAAAATAAAGTATACTTTTAAAAATAACAATTCATTTTCCTGTTGTTATTAATCAAGACATTTTAGGCTGTCAGTCAGAGCTCCTTTTGTGCCACTTGGCATGGCCTTCACCAACCATGTATGGCTGGTGAGCACTTGAAATATGGCTGGTGTGGCTGAAGAACTCAGTTAGCTTATCTTAATGCATTTAAACTTAAAGAATGATATTCAATTCAGTTATTGGAAAACTTGATTTGGAACAACTTGGGTACGTGAATCTTTTTCAACCATAGATTTTATGAAATCTAAATGGATATAAAATATTTCCAATGAAAATTTAGCATAGCAATTGAAATGTGCTTTAAATATAAAATATATACTAGGTTTTGAAGACAGGTAAAAAATGTCAAATATCTAATAACCATTTTAGATCAACTACAACTTGAAAATTTTTTTATTTTTTGGGTTAAGATATAACAATTAACCCTACTATTTTTTTTTTCATTTTTAAATGTGGCTATTAGAAAAATCTTAATTATATATATAGCTTGTATTACATTTCTATTGAACAACACTCTTTGAACCTACTGTTACCATTCTGAATTGATACAATTCCAATTAAAACCAAAGGAACTTGGGGTTTCAGTTAGCTTGTGTAGCTTTGTTTTAATCCTTTTGAAATACTGAAAATGTCAGATCCCTATTTCTACTTTTTGAGACTTCCAGGAAGTCTTAAATTTGTATATCCTTTAAGGTTTATTTTCCCATCTTTAGAAAATTCAGACTTGTGTTGAAGTCCAAGGGCATTAGAAATTCCTAAACTAGGGTAAAGGACACAGCTGAATTTGCTTCTGAATGGGGGATAGGGTTTCATTGTCCAGGAAAGACTAGAATATGTGGAAGGAAATCACCACCTTTTGCTTTGTGCAACAGAAAAAATGTGAGCGCTACTGGGCTGAACCAGGAGACACGCAACTGCAACTTGGTCCTTTCTCCATTTCCTGTGTAAGTATGATGTCTATTTCCATTACGGCTGAGCAGATGCTCCAGAACCTACTTTATAGAGAGTAGTTTTTGAATATTAGTCTTTGAAATAACTAATATTTTGATTTACCTCTTAGGAGGCTGAAAATAGAAAATCTGATTATACAATCAGGACTCTAAAAGCCAAGTTCAATAGTGTAAGTATAGAACACTAAAGGTAAACTCAAAGCCTACAGAGACCAGGCAAGTAAACGTACATGTATATGATGCAGTCTGCGGGGGATGGAAGGGCCTTTGATGTTCTGGATAGACCATAATATCCAAAAGAGACCTTTGGTGTAATCTGTGTTCCCCAACCTATTTCACACCAATGGCCCACATATAAAATGATATTATTTCTAGGATGAATAGAGGCTGGGAACCAACTTGAAAGCTCAGACTCCTCTGTTTCTCTAAGGCAAAGGGATTTAGTACCTCAGCCTGCATGTGACTCGTTTAAAGGATACCAGGTGGGAAGCTCTGGTTTGGGCCATTTTCACATCTACCTTCTCTTTTGAGTAGATAAGGACAGGCCAATAGTGAGTGACCTGAAATAACTTATAATTGTTCTTACAGGGAATGTGGTCTGTAGGGAAGAAGATTCCATAAATTGCAAAAAAGATAAAGATGCTACTTAGTAAGACAGAGTAATCTTGTGATAGAATGAAGTGACATGCTAATCTTGAACTCTCCTTTTATTCTGGTTATTTTTATAGGAAACTCGAACCATCTATCAGTTCCATTATAAGAATTGGCCAGACCATGATGTGCCTTCATCTATAGACCCTATTCTTGAGCTCATTTGGGATGTGCGTTGTTACCAAGATGATAACAGTGTTCCCATATGCATTCACTGCAGGTATGATGCTGTTGTATGAGCCTTCTCCCCAGAATAAACCAAATGTCACACTCAGGCCAGGACTCCTGCTTTTAACCAAAGGAAGACTGACTTTGTTGGAATTTAAACCCTACATAGATGTAGGTTCCTAATTTGAGGCTCATTTTTTCCAGTCAGTCAGAAAAGAATCAAGTTTAAAAATGAGAATGATTGAAAGAGAAAGGTCAATAGAAGAAACTCTGATAAATTCAACCTGAGAATTAATGTTTGGTTTTTTTTTTCTGATAAATTACTTGCAACAGCATAGCTCTAGAGATGTTTTGCTGTGAGAACTTGCCTAAGACCTGTCCTGAGGCTTGGTGTAGTCTGTGGCAACTTAAAAACGTGTTCTGGGAAATGGTAGCGTTTAGACAGTTTCATGTTCTCTAGATTTCTTCTTCCTCAAATCTGCTGGTGAAATTTTTCAGCTACATCCACTCTCTGCAACTATACATGCTACTGTGATCTTTCATTTCAGCGCTGGTTGTGGAAGGACTGGTGTTCTCTGTGCTATTGATTACACGTGGATGTTGCTAAAAGATGGGGTGAGTTTTTCTCAATAGGCACTTGCTATTTTCTTAACCTTGTTACTTTCAGATTTAGAAATTGTCTGATTCTTCAAAACATCTGTCTTTAGGATTCTAGAATATTCACTTGTAGATTGGTTTTGTCAATTAACTTAGTTCCTAAATTGGTGGTTCTCAAAATGTGGTCCCCAAACAAGAAGCATCAGTAACACCCAGGGAACTCATTAGAAATGCAAACTTTTGTGCCCCACCTCAGATGAACTGAAGCAGAAACTCTGGAGGGGGTGGGGCCAGCAAGGTACCTTCTGGACAGAAGTAGTTTTCTTAACCACTGTCCTAAATCACACTTACCCTTCCTTTAGCCAGGTAACTTGCATTACAGAATTTCGCTGCTTTCTGTCAAACCTTAACATGAATCAGCCAGCCCCTGTCTGAGTTTCCTGAGCCATACAGCAAATTCCTATTGGCTATCTATTTTACACATGGTAATGTAAGTTTCCATGTTACTCTTTCCATACGTCTCACCCTCTTCTCCCCTCTCCCCATGTCCATAAATCTATTCTCTATGTCTGTTTCTCCATTGCTGCCCTGTAAATAAATTCTTCAGTGCTATTTTTCTAGATCTCATATATATGCATTAGAATATGATATTTATCTTTCTCTTTCTGACTCACTTCACTCTGTATAATAGGTTCTAGGTTCATCCACCTCATCAGAACTGACTCAAATGCATTCCTTTTTATGGCTGAGTAATATTCCATTGTGTATATGTACCACAACTTTATCCCTTCATCTGTCCATGGACATCTAGGTTGCTTCCATGTTCTAGCTATTGTAAATAGTGCTGCAATGAACAATGGGATACATGTGTCTCTTTCAATTTTGGTTTCCTCAGGGTATATGCATAGGAGTGGGATTGCTGTGTCATATGGTGGTTTTATTCCTAGTTTTT